GCACCGCTTCTATACTCTGTCTGGAGTTGCCGACCCTCTGTTGACAAGGTCTTCTACAGAAAAGAGCCTTGCGAGATGGAACAATTATCAACGCGGGGTATTTCGTCTTTTGAAATATCTCGACTGTGACTCGCAGAGTCACAATAATGACTACGAATTCACTGTGCGATCTACTTCCTACAGATTAGGGATCACCACAATTCTCGGATATCTTTTCCCCGTGATATAAAATCTTCTTGTTTGCGAAGCAAATGGCAGATATGCGTGTATAATTCGGAATTGGTTTTTTGGCATGGAAAGGCGCTCGGAGAACTAACTGTACACGGGGAGGAATTGGTGGGTGTTGGCGTTCTTGTCATGTATACCTACCGCGAATGGATTTTCTTGCATGAATCTCCCTTTTTCTTTTTTCTTCTTTTTTATTTTTCTTTTCTGTTTTCTTTTATTATTATTATTCTGTCAAGTTTCTTTTCCCCCCTCCCACCTCAACTTACTCCTCCTCGCTGGTTCCCTTGAATTGGAGCGACGCCCACAAAAGCGAATGTCTCGATTACTGCCATATCGCAACTAGATACCACCATACTTTGCTGACCGTCTGCACTCGCTGCTCCGGGGCTTTCCTGTTCTACAACACAGACCACAGTCATATTCACATGCTGGCTGTACGCGACATGCAGTTTTCTAGCAATCGATTGTGTCACCTTTTGATTCCTCGGGCCTAATAAATCAAAGGGATAGGTTTGGACAACCTGCGACGCTCCAACGATATCGGCAGGCAGTGCAGCGAATTATAAGAGTCGTTGGCTGGCAGGTACTCCGTCTCCGAAGATGATCAAACACGCCTTGGCCGTTAGGCGGGGTCAGCCCCCGGACTTTTCCTTTTCCTCAAAGTTTACTTTGTTCGCCTGTGTCTCGTCTCCGATGCCGTTTCTTCCAAACCCGCTTCTTTGTGCAATCTTTCAAGCATTTTGAGTTGAACTTTCGAGATGAGGAGGGGGCAATACAAGACGACCGAAAATGAACAAAAGCCACGCACCGATCAACTCGAATAATGTTTCTCGCTTCTCTCAACCTCCAATACCTTATCAAGGTCAATTAATTCTCGTTTCGACCATTGACGCAAAGACCTGCATTGCACCCCAGACGGTACATTGCCAAGCCCATATGCTACTGCATCTACTGAGGACCAGATGAGGTCCGCGCTTTTCTTTTACTAAACGGCATCTCGCAATCGGGTCTGCATATACCGTCCAGAGGATAGTAACACTAAACCATAGAGATAAGCACAGCCGTACTCCCCCTTTCCTCTCAAGGTTAGAAAGCCGGAGTTGTGCAGCAACGAAGACAATTCGGCGTCGTCAACGCCCCCCCACCCAAAAAAAAAGGAAAAAAAAAAAAAAAAAAAAAGGCTTTTAAACTACCAATTAAATCAATCGGCTCCCATTATTAACTGATCCCAGAGGGAGTAGGGAGTTGGGTTCCATCGCCCAACTGTGGTACGGCATTCAGGAAGCTCGACAGTCTAAAGCGACCAGGGTGTTGGGATGGAAAGTGAAATTATATAAATTATATCTAGACTGACTGGGGACCCTTGCTGCATTTGCCCCCTGCTTCACTGCCTTTCCTCAATCCTCAAATCATCAAAGATATTCTCAAGCTTCCCTGCATCGACTGGTGATTTGACAAGACCGTACCATAAACAGCCGGCAGCCTTTCGGTATGTCCGTTCCGTGTGGCTAGAACCAGTGCTAGTTTGTACCTTATCTTCCTCCAGGTTAGCTCTTTTTTTCTTCTGGACCTTTCGAGCGCTATGTGGAATAGTGATGGAAACATGACATTTTCACTGCAGCCTTGACAGGCATGGTTACACAACCGCCGTTAGGACTGCACTCGGACGCTTTCCCAGCGGCACGTCACCGTACTCGACAGCCATTCGCATCCATACAACTCACGATCAGGACAGCACATGGCATGCACGAAGCATTCGATGGGAAGGTGGTCTAATACTCCGAAACGCTGCGGCCAATGATCGATAAACAGACCACGAAACGGATGGGTCGTTAATGGGCTCAAAGCACACCAAATCAGAAGCAGTTGCGAGTTCGAATGGGTTGTGTAGAGGTGCTAAAAAAGTTTACTGACCTTTTAGACTGGCTTAGCTTCTGATGATGGATGTGAAGTCCCAAATAGATGAACGGCGATTCAGGCGGATCGTGCCCTCGGCCCGAGCATGCATCGTGGCAATTATGCATACATATCAGGTACTGCTGAGCGAGTATATACGAGCCGAGCGCGCTACGGGAATATAAGACGGTAGGGTGTCGGGAATAAATGGATCTAAATGGCAGCGTTACTTTACTATCTGCGCTATCTGACGGTCCTCTATTTCCACCAGGACCGTGAACTTGTTAAGACTGTTGTTTATTAACTCTCATAGACCAGGGAGCGTAGAAAGTTCCACTCTCTCCCCTTTAGGGACAAACCACAAGAGGACAATTTGAAATTACATAGTCCAACGAGTCAGTGTAGTGGTTCCTGACCCACTCATCATGCTAGTGGGTAAACTGCCTTACTCGAAACAATCAGATCGTAGCGCTGACTACATCTTCAGCTGACCAGCGACATGATGCAGATCGACCGTCCATGCGTCCATTCACAGTGCTGACATCATACGTATAGCAATGGCCTTGTCCTTTGCGTACCTTGAATATAAGTGATGGTTAGCTACGAATACATGATTTGCTGCATTGATAGTGATCAGCGGAGCGACGTAGACGTAGAGAGCATCTATCTACGTGATATGTCTCGAAAACGTCATAGAAGGCCAAAACCCAAGACTGATTTCGTCACCTTCATCTATTGAGACTCATGTTCCGTACTCCCTAGTTCTGTATAGGTTGTGGTTGGTTGTCCCAACGGGTAAAAAGGCTTCGGAGCATTTACCCGAAGGCTATAGGAATAGCCTACAGTGCTGCCTACCCTACAATGTACTGGAGCTCTATCGAGGTGTCTTTGAAATTTACAGCTATGGATGGCTAAAGGCTGAACAGTTGTTTTGATAATGTCGTCATCTGGTTGGGGATTTTCATGTGATATGTGGCTAATATCTTGGTCTTGGGTCGGAGTACTCGGTATAGTCAATGAGTTATCAACGCCTTCCTAATCCTAGCTAGGTACTTTAAAAGGAGAAGGATACCTTACAGATACTACTCATCTCCACGGAGCCTGCAATACCACCAAGGTACCTAGTGGCTCGATGTCACACCACTTTAGCCACACTGGCTTATCATGCTTCTGCACAGTGCACAGGGGATGCATCATTCCGACGTCCTCGAGCTCGCCAGAGTCGATTCTCGTAAGGTGACAGCTGGGTTCTGCGCACGGACCATATGCGATGCCATATCGGGGCAGCTTGCAACGAGCTCAGGGGTGGTCTGGACTAGGTTCTTATATTGAGCTCATATAATTAAGTATTGGTGTGTATGTGTGGCGTTGAATGGTACAGATATGAAATGCCACTGGTCGGTTGTCTATTGTGGAAATTAGAATCATCTATTTCATACTTCATGTACATGAATATCTGAGATAGTGTTGCATTTGTAATCAGATTCTGCGGAGGTTGCCCAAGCTTTGGATATATGGGTGTCACTTGAGGTACCATTTCACTGTAGTAACATTGCCATAAGCATGGTTCAGGTCATAATACGAGTGAAGATGGCAATAAGTAAAATTGAATCTACTTACTGGCTAGCAAGCTTCCTGGTGTCATTCGTGGCTAGTTTTGTCCATATATTAGATACTACTCCGTAACCGATGTAGTCGCTTCGCCGCTGAGTCATGCCAGTATCAGCTGAATCATTTCATGTCCGTGCTGCTCCTTTAATTCTGCTAGCTCGTCCCATGAACGGCGGCTAAGTGCATTGTCGAATCCATCTGATTAAGGATATGGTAGGACTGTCGAGTCCGTGACAACCTGCCGCGTCAACACCAAACATCACCTGGAAAGACTAAAACCATCCCAGCTTCCTATTTAAGACATTGATAAATGAGTGGCGGCATCGCATCCTGAACGTGATATCGGATATCGACAATACCACTCCCACCGGAGGATCCAAGATACTTCGAGATACTTCATTGACGGAAAGGAAGACCGCGAAACAAGTGATCTACGCCGACTGAGGGGACAGCGCTATCCTGATTTCTGCTCAGCCACCCGCGGTTCCAATATTGGCCCTAATTTCTCTTACGGTAGGTAGGTTTCGGCCGATGATAGGCCCGGACGCCGGGTATTCTCCGTTATTGGGAATGTTTGACGAACGGTGGATATTGATTTAGCGGTGGTGAAGTATTGCCAACGGAGTGCTCCTTACCTTACGCTTCTTGCTGGTCGAGTGGTGCGTTTCATTAGGCGAATATGTCCTCAAAAGTCCTGGCCAAAACTTCGGTATTGCTAGTGCTTTTAGAATGCTGTAACCTGGACCTTGTACTATATACCCTGTAGGTACTTTATTCCCTGCACCTATCCTCTGCTTGCTGCCTGGATTAGACGGTGTTGCCGGTAGACATATCCCAAAGCACGGTGGGGCGGCCTGAGCCGACAGGCACCTTCCGAGCCTGGGACCAGGAGTTGACGTTTGAAGTCCTTGTCTACATGGTAAACAGCTGTGTCTGAGTGCGTATGTGCGTTGAAGATCATTGGCCCTTTATGGATCAAGGTGCATGGATTGATATATCAGAGTTCTGACAGGGGACCTTGGTGTGATTTGTGTGCTTTTCAGAGGTTACTCTGAGCATCTCATCAAGTTTGTTACACTTTGATATTACGAACAGGAGGTGTTATCGGTGCTCATATTGGTCAGTGCTCATATTGGCCCCAAACCTTGTTCATAATCACACTCCTTGGCTGCCGAACTGCAATTCGAGGATAATCCCTCTGCATCTCGATCGTGCCGTTTGCCGTAAATGCCGCACCGCAGCAATAAGATCTCGCCTGCCTCTCCTTAACGCTTGGACTTTGGATTTCGGACCATGCAATACAGCTACAAGAAAACGTTAATAATGATAATAACAAGACTCTGAGCAGCCCTCCTGGAAACAAACATACCATGCACACATCATCGCCATCCCTGCACTCCATCGCCTTGGCCATCTCGAACCCCATCCGCCGATAGATTTCCACGTTGGGCACCTCTTTTGAGCTTTCCAGATAACACTTCACCCCTTCCTCGTCCGCTCGATCAGTGACAGCCTGAAACAATTTCTTCCCGATCCCCTTTCCCTGAGCCTCCGGACTGACCGCCACGATGTTACAGAAATAGTACCCTTGCGGATCATCCCAGATCTGACTCTGGGCCTCCCGTTGACGATCCTTCCAGATCCAATAGCGGCGCGTGTTGAGCCCGCCCCGGCCCATGTGGCGCATATTATTCAGGAACTGCCAGAAAGACAGCAACCAGCTTTGCGCCCAGCTGTACCAGCTTTCAGGCTCTGCGGCGGGGTGAGGCGGGAGCCAGCATGAGACACCGAGCACGCGAGAGGGGGAGTCGTCTCCATCGCTCTCTTTGGCGACCTGGAAGATGGCGTTGTTGATACCCCAGCGGCATCGTGCTTCAAGAGAACCATAATTCCTTTGTTTATTGAACTATATGGTTCGAATATCAGGTGACGCGGGACGCAAGTCGGCGTCGACTCGACCGCGTCGGGACACAGCACATGTTAGCTCCAACTTGATCTGGCAGGAAACCTCAACGGTGTCTTCTGCGTGCTCCATTACCAGGCTACATACCTTGGCTGGATTGAAAACCCATTTGAAATATGGGTCGTCGGCAAACGCGTGCTGGATCACCTCGATCGCTTCGGGAATATCCGCCTCGGTGAGGTTGACGACCTCGATGGCCATTCTGATGCTTGTTTATAAGGCGTAGTTATGCAGTTATGGGTTGTCTGGAATCAGCTTTGGTTGTATATTGATACGACCTCGGACTCGATACTGGACTTTCGGTGAACCACACGATTCTGCTCCGATATTCCCTGCCCGTGATTCTTATTAAATCCTATATGAATATTCGCTGTGCTGACTTGAGAAGGATGACCTGATGTATTGTCGAATTATAGATGGGCAGATGAAGTTTAAATCTAGAGTGGTTCATCAAGTAACGGAAATGTCCCCCACCGGATTAAGCCCTGCTAGGCAGTTCCACGCGGGCACCAGGATCAACATCTCCACATGGACCATGGACGGCGTTGAGCGTCGCTTATCATGACAGCTGGTTATGTTATTGGTCTTTCGATGCAATCTGAATGAAACTTTATTGCAATCATAAATAGGAGATTATACTAATTCTGTATAATATCTACATATCGTTCTATAGTTTCCCATGACCCGGTTTCTTCAGCCTGAGCAAGCTATCCTGATAACTGGTGGCGAGCAATACCCCTTCTGGGCTCCACAGATAGCTCTCATGGATAGCTCTATTCTCTCCAGACGTAGGCGTCCAGCCTTCCTGGATAAACCATTTCCTGGGCAAACTCTGTCCATTCTCTTCTTGCCCTACGTCCCAGTCAATCATCCTCAGCGCTTCACCATGGTGATGGAAGACCACCGTCAGCGTTAAACTGGCCATTGCAGACCAGGTCTTGTGGCCCAAAGCACGTGGTATCAATAAGAGCGAGTTCTTGTCGCTCGCATACATGTGCGCACAGGCATAGAGGTTATCGAACTCGCCTGTCTTGTCTCTGGCTTCGAGGTCTTGCTTGCTCAACGCAGCATCTGAGTCCTGCGGTGACCCCTTGAGGGCGTATAGCGTCAACTGACGATACTTTTCCGGACTCTGCTTCACCTCCTCCGTGGCATTGTAGCTCGCCATATCCACCTTTCTCACATCAAGCCCCGGAAACTCTGGCTCAGTAATATCCCCCCGCTGAACCTGTTCGATCCACCAGTCCGCATCCACGCTGGGACTAGCCAAATGATCCTCTGGCTTCTTCCCGGCAAGAAGCGACCCGAAGCGCTCCTGTACCGGGGCTGGCTGATGGTGGAACGTCTGTGGTCCCTCAGGGCGCTTGAACGAGCACAAACACGAGAAGCAGATCTTGCCGTTCTGTCGTGCGTCGACAGCCCGCGTACAGTACATGCTCCCATCTCGTGTGTGGCGAACTGTATACACATACGGGACGTCTAGTAGGCCTGGTAGAATGAACGTGCCCGTCATGTCCTGGTTGTTCATTTAACTGGGGATTCATGCGAGTGTATCAAGGTAGGCGGACTTACGTGTATTACAAACCCCTTGTCGACGGTTTTCGACGCTGCATATGCGGACTGAGCGTAGACGTGCCCGCCAAATGCCATTCCGCCCATGCCAGGAGGGTACGGTGCCGCGAGAGATTGGAACCTCTCGACCTTCTCTGGCGCGTCCGGAGTGCTGGGCGAGTCGAGGCGTTTGAGGCCCATTAATTCGACGAAGGAGGCGCGAAAGGGCAGTTTTCCTGAGCTGTTAGGCCCATCTTTTTGCGAACTCATGATGATGCTGTGCGGTGATGTAGGTTGGTTCTCTACTTAGAGGACAAGAGCAGATCGGTGCAGGATCAGACAATGAAGTATCTTGCAAACAGGGTATCATATCCCGGCAAGAAGTATGCATGAGCACAGTAGTGGTTGGACACAATTATGTGTCCTTCAAGCGATAGGTAGATGATCATCTCCTCAGCCGGTACAAGAACCTCGGCTGCTCGGGAAAAAGTGATGCGCTTAATGTCAACGCGGCATCCTCCATCAGCATCAGACATAGAAGAGAGTAAAACTAGAAGTGAGACAATTGCTATGTTTTATAAGCACTGAGCAAGTGCGCTCTCCTGTACATGGTACATATTGAAAGCTGGGGTCCTTGTGTGCTATTGATCGGAGATATGCTGGTCACGTGAAGAAACTACAATGAACAAAGTGCTCAAGCTGAATCAAAAGGGAGATAAGGAGTCCCAAGTCGAAAAAGAATTCAACCTCTATGCGCCTGCAATGTTGGTATGATAGTACAGATAGTCCCAATCCCATGAATGATACAACGATATCGCAATGCCAGCATTCAAATCCCAGAAAAACCAACGCAAGTCGATGTCAATCCCCCACTCCATCGCGACAGCCCATGGTACTAGCACACATTCAAATCGAATCGGCGAGCTTGCGAGCATTGGTCCATTCAACCTTTCCTTCTACGTCCTTGATCTCATCAAGCTTGTCGCCCAACTTCACAACTGAGAATCGGATCATCCGCGGGTCGAGACTGAGGGTTCTGCGGACGGCGGACTGAACAGCGCCTGAAGCATCGAAGCGCATGATGAAGTGATGGCCGTCGGTGTACCGAGCTTGATGTTTGGTGGTGGGTTTGGGCAGTCGGAACGTGCCCCAGTTTGTGTATCCGCGGACTACGCCGCCTGATCGGAGGACTTGAATGCCGGCATTACGAGCGATCCTGTTCACCAATTAGTTTGCAGTCCACTCTGCCCAAAAGAGCATTCGAATGTAGAAATAAGGGATAGTTGTCCCCTTTCGAAAGGAAGGGCGGGGTGGGATGCGAGACGTACTCCCGGACCTCGTTGAGGCTGCCTGGACGGACCTGAGGACGTTAGTTCGATGCCGAAGATATGTTTGAAACTAGGCGACAAGGAATATACTCACAACAGCAATCAGTTCATACAACATCGCATCGACGGAGTGCTTGTGGACGACGCTTCGGAGATTGAATGGCGTTTAGCGGAGGAGATTTTCGGGAGCGGTCACCAGCTAGACTAACTATTTTCCCTTCCGGCGTTGCGGACAACAGACGGTTCCTTATCAGCTGGGCTTGGCATCGCCTATCAGTCCGGAAAGCTAGTTCGCAGCTCCATTTAATCGCGATTTCTCCTCGGCGGGTTTATCATCATCCATTTCCATCTTCTTAGAACTCTCCTTCTCCTTGCCATTGTTCCTCTTTCCTCTAATTTTAGCTTCCCAAACAAAATGTCTACCGTCGCCAGATCCCTCCGTCCTTTCGCTTCTCGCGTGCTTTCTCAGAAGGCTCCTCTGACTTCCAGCGTCCGCAGGGCCTCGCCCGCCCTATGTTTCCCGCGGGGAAGTGCCAGGAGCTTCTCTCAGAGCCCTTTTTGTAAGAAATGACTCAGTTCAGCGTTCATGAAGCCATTGAGATGCTATTCTCGAGACAAGGCATTGTACTAACGTCTATAATGCTACGCAGTGGAGGTCAAGAAGTACACCGAGTCTCACGAGTGGATTGAGCTGGCCGAAGACGGCAAGACAGGTGAGTTCTTTACTCCTGTCGCTTCACGACAGCCCCAATCTTCCGCTCTACAGCTACTAACACGCCAATTCCTCACCAGCCAAGATTGGCATCACAGAGTACGCTGCCAAGTCCCTCGGTGATGTCGTGTTTGTAGAGCTTCCCGACGCCGACCTTGAGGTGAGCGCCGGTGAGGCCGTGGGTGCCGTTGAGTCGGTCAAGTCGGCCTCGGACGTCCTGTCGCCCGTCTCTGGAAAGGTTGTGCAGGGGAACAGCGTTCTCGAGGACAATGCCAAGTTCATCAACCAGAGCCCGGAGGGTGACGCCTGGATCGCCGAGATCGAGGTCAGTGACGTTGCGGAGCTGGATGGTTTACTCAATGAGGACGCCTACAAGGCGACCGTCGAGGCAGACCACTAATTGTAATGACGGTCGGTCGATTGTTGCTCCTGAAGGTATTGGATTATGGTATATAATTCATCCGGTCTATTAGATGTTAAATGACGGCTCTTTTTGTGGTCTGGAATGTTGTACGGATTGATGGGTATTATGTGTGACATCATTGTTGAGCCGCCAGTGGCTGGTCTTTATTCAACAAGGAAGGCCTCTACTTGAAGCAAACGTGTTCAGATTCTGATATATTCCTATGAAATATGTCCGATATTGTTTTCCGCTATTTGAAGTCTGTGTAGACTTTGACTGTAATGCCTATACGACAATAATCGTTCATAGTGCCATTCAATTTGTACAGGCTAATTACATTGTACAACTGCGCTTAAAGCGCTATTCGTGACAGGCCATTATGATACATCTATACAGGAGGGATGGACTCTCGACAAATGGGGCACTGGAGTCGCAATCGCATCCAGCTCTCGAGACAAGTGCTGTGGAAAATATGTCGACAAGGCGTCACCATATAAGTGCGACGACTGAGGATACTTGTAGCTCCCTCGGTGACACTGCTGCCTCCGGCGGCTCCTCGCGCTGCAAGAACAGGTACCTCGATTTCCTGCATGCAGATCGCACAATCAAAAACCGCCTTCTTCCTGTCCTTGGTCCGCTGCTTGTTCTCATCCTTCGCGTCGCCGGAAAGATCCTCGGCCCTAAGAGCGCCGATCGGCAGAACACCGCCAGACTCCAGATCTGCCTCAGACTCGTCGGCGTCGCGCAAGATTGGGTGATAGTCGTACGCGGGCGGTGCCCAGCCTCGAGGGACGAAGAACCGCGGTCCGAGAATGTCCTGACTCGCCAGGACCCAGACCTGAATCCACACCCAGCCTGCCAGCGCAAAAGCTGTTGTTGTATCTGGGCGTATAAACAGCACGTTGCCACGCACCGTTAGAAAATACACAAACGGAAACAGACGCAGAATACTCTGTCCGATCACAAAATCCCAGCGGAGCGCTTTACGGCAGTTGCGCATGATATTGCGGCCAATCTGTGGGGTCCAGAACGACAGATAGGCAAAGGCGAGAGCGCGCGCATATAGGGCTCCTAGTCGATTCGGCCACAGGAAAGACCATATGGAAATAATGAGCATCACGAATAGGACGAAGTAGAATCGTGCGTACATCGCACCAACGTCGTTGCGAGTTTCTTGAGCGGCTGAAATGGCGCCACGGTTGGTTGGTTGATCATCCTCCTCGGCAGGAGGATCTTGATCTGGAGTCAATATGATGGGTGTTGCGCCAGTGTCTCTTACCGGGGCCGATGTCGCTGGGAGAGGTAGGCCTCTCGAGCGCGGAGTTGAAGCCGAAGGATTGGAGCGACGCTCTTGCTCCCTGCGTTCGGGCGCTTGGACAGCCCAGATCTCCATCATGAATTTCATACCAATGTAGCTAACCGACAGAAATGTGAGAAAGGCCGCCGTCGCCATGACCAAGAATGACACCGCCGGATACAGCTCCAACAGAATGAAGATAAGAACAAAAGCATCCCCAAAGGCCATAAGAGCAATTGTATAGAAGCTAATACGGCTCCGGGTGGAAGGTGTCGATGCCTCCTTGATCTGTCTCAGAAGTAGAGTGATTTGTGCGGCAAACACTCCGCATATGATAAATACGAGACGCGCACTGTATTTGTCGTACTCTTCAATTTTCGGACCCGTGAGATAGAGGCCTTCGCTCGGAGGGAAGTCTGGGGTTCCCTTGGTCTCGAGGATATACCCACAGTCCGGAGAGAATACCACGGCGGACATGACCATTAACGGCGCAGGTGGTACCGGAGCTCCAATTGGGAATCTTAGCTCCTCTTCTATCTGGTCAACCATTGGCTTATCCGCTAGGTCGTCATGAATAGCGACTGGATGTTGTTGCAGGTAGACAATATGTTCACACTTTGGTGCAGGGAATTCTACCTGCTCCGATCCAATTAGGGACGACCACGGGAAAAGCGTCGGAGGGCGATTCTCTTTCTCAGATAAGGCATCAGAGAGCGACTTGAGGAGAAGCTGATGTGAAAGCCCATACGCGTCTGAGGAGAAAGCCAGATGCGGCAGCACGAACAACCCCTCAAACTTCTCGCTATTTGAACTCAGGATGATGCCTCCCGTCTCTGGGAAATGGACACCGAATAAGGAGATATACCAGGTATTTCCCCAGAAGTCATTGCTTTCGACAGCCAATGTCGCTCGTATCTCTCGAACTTGGCCGCTATCTACCCGAAGCTCTTCGCCCCCGCCTTCCCTGAGATCCAAATAGAAAGTTCCACTGCTACCGGTGATGTTCAACCCGAATTCGTGGGTGAAATACTCATGCTCCAAAGCGATAGCCGTAGTGTTGAGTTTCGGAGATTCTTTGTCCAACTTGCGGCGAACCCAATCTCCACGCAATTTCCCTGTCGCATTGCGATAGACCGGCAGTAACAACTGAGTCAGATTCAGGGAAGGTAAAGCGTCGGGGTCTTCTAGAGACCTGGGAGGTTCCAGCCCAGCATTTGAAATGGCGGATCGTAACTGGTGACGAGCTCTACCGTGAGCTTCCGGGAGAATACCCCAGGCATAACTGTCGTTCTTCCTGGTTCCCGCAAAAGGAAGCCATTTATCACCCGGCGGGTCGAAGTCCCCATATTTGGATTCATTCAACAAACGAAGCGCATCTCGTTCCCTTGCTACTTCCAGCTGCCGCTCTCGATCCTGGTCAAGCAATGGCGGACGAGACTGCGAGCTGAGAAGAAGATAAAAAACGATCAGCAGGAAAAAGAAGGAACCGCGGTTATCCATAGATGCCACGAAGCGATGCAGGCATCGGAGATTCCGTTCAAATCTCCTTTGAGTACAGCCTATGTTGATCGCATAGCTAGTTTACGACGGAGTTTCCATTTATACAGGACCGTCGTAATGGCCAGGCGAAAAAGCCTGTCGAGTAGATAATGATGATTTAAAGCTGTAATCAATGGCAAGAGATGCCGGACGCCGGTGGAGGCGAGAGTCAATGATGCGATGAGTGAGTCGAGGCCTCAGGCCGCCGCCGCAGTCTTCCCCCCCCCGCCTTTACCCGCTCTCCCCTGATAACCACCGGTCGGGAGGAGTGCGTGTGCTTTGGGAGTTGGAGCAACCTCCTATCGGCATTGTTCTAAAACATCCCTTCCGGTGTTCGTGTCCAGGGAATCTACTCTACCACCCAGACTAGATCTCGTCGTACATTGTTGGCGCAGGCGTCGACATTCTTCTACTAGATGCTATGGCATCGAACCTTCCCATTCCTCGCCCGCCGCGCACGCCAACTCCACCGTCGGATGATCTTACGAGCGTGACTGACGGCCAGCCCCAAAGGGGGTTCGCTGCAACGTACGATAAAGATACGTTGTCGCCAATGGTCGACCATTTCTCTCAAAATGGACCGAACGTGGAAGATCGGGACCGTTTGAGTCCTACCAGGTCATCCTTCAAACTAAGTCCAACAGATGGCTCTGCACAGAGTGGTGCAAGCGACAATGGCTCTGCTGGGCCATTCAATTTTCAGACTACAACTATGGCGAAGGGCCCGGTAATGAAATCTGTAAGTGCTTGCTTTAACTGCACCTTATGGCTGGTTGCCCTTGTATTGGAACGCTAATTGTCTTGCGCGGAATTTCTGTAGAACATTGGCCAGCGACGCGGACACAAGTATAAACATAGTAGTATATCGCATCAAATATTCCTCGAACCTCCTCCCCGAGCTCCTTTGGCTCTTCCAAATTCGCTACCTATCCCCACGCTCAAAGAATGCCGTTCTAGCATGTCGAAGGACCAGAAGACGCGGTTCTGGTGGAGCGTCTGCCATATGTTCGTTGCCGCATACACGCTCTGGAGCGCACATGGATCCTTGGCTATGACAGCGCTGTCTCATTTGATTCTGTTTGACTCTCTTGGGGCGTTGCTCTGCGTAGCTGTGGATGTATTGAGCAACTTCGAGGTGTGGAAACGATCCTCCATTCGCCATCCATTCGGGCTGGAACGAGCAGAGGTACTTGCTGGGTTCGCAATGTGCGTGCTGCTACTGTTTATGGGCATGGACCTTATCTCCCACAACCTTCAGCACTTTCTTGAGTCGAGCGACAATCATGAGCCTCACCATACGCATCCTCATGAGCGTGTCTCTGTTGGCAGTGTAGACATCACTGCTGTACTTGCCATCTCATCCACTCTGGTATCTGCAATTGGCTTAAAGAACCATGCACGGATAGGCAAGGCCATGCGCTTTGCATACATTGAGTCTCTGCCGTCGGTCCTTAGCAATCCATCTCATTTCCTCACCCTTTCATGCTCGACACTGCTGTTGCTTCTCCCTCTGGTGTCCATCAAGCTTTACAAATGGCTTGATGTTCTTCTGTCCGTCACTATTTCTATCTCCATGTGTGTGCTCGGCGTTCGCCTTGTTAAAACCCTGGGATCCATGCTTCTCATGTCCTATTCGGGTCCGGGGGTCTCGGATGTGATTAAGGATATTGAAGCAGATCCGTCTGTTTCTGGGATTGATGATGCGAGGTTCTGGCAAGTTCACTATGGTTTGTGTATGGCAAATCTGAAACTTCGGGTGTCTGGTTCCGAGGAGAACCTGGTACGACTACGTGAACGCATCTCCAGCTTGATTAAGAATCGACTGGGTGGGGGATATGGCACTGGTGGTCAGAAATGGGAAGTTTCACTGCAATTTACTGTGGATAACTCATGATATCACTGGTTTCCATGTATGTCAATATCCTGACATGGTTTGTTTTGCAGTAGCAAGGGTACATGTCCACTTGTGCATAAATGTAACTATTTTTCATCGTATCTGCTGAGAATTGACCGCTAGACTATTGTTCAAATTCATTGATGCCAGGGATATCTTTCTGTCCCTTGATTGTTCGCTAGCAAACGATTCTCTGATGAACTTTTTGAAACACAAATTTGCCCGCCTTCCAGTCATCAGTATCTTCAAGTCTGTCCTGATCAAAGACTTGGTCGATTTCCAATCCCGCATGGAATCGCTGCTTATCGAACAACCGAGCGATGAGCTTCTTCTCCCGTCCTGAGGTACCTCTCACATGAATCTCATCCGGCATCCCATGAATCCAGACGTGGAACCAACCCCAATCCAGCACTTCCGTAGCCAGACGACAGCACCCCCAGTTGCAGGTACAGTGCCGCAAGTCAATATAGAGGCGTGAGAGTTGGAAGGTCTGCCGTACAAAACTCATTGTGCGTCCCCAGAGATGCTCCTTCATATTGTCGATATGCTGATCATGAATCTCATGCGCTTGTTCAGACGAAACCTCCTCCTCGGAATCCGAATCTACCTCGGTTTGTTCTATCCTGGGAATATCAAAGTCGGCCTGCATCCCATCCAGCTCTTCAATCACCTTGCGCTTGTGCTTCGAGGGTACCTTTGCACCCCGTACCGCTGCGATGACGCCTGGTAGCTCCCGCGACAGAAATTGTGCCAGATAAATGTAATCCCGACAGTCGAAGACGAGCTCCAGATTGCGGACCTTCTTGAGATTCTCGAATACACGCGGATACTCTGCGCGCGCGGCAGCCAACAGATCAACTTGGACGAGGGAGAAAACATTTTCGCTCAAGTAGATGGGCATTGCCTCTTCGTATATGCGCTTTGAGGTCCAGAGTAGAGCGAGATTGGGCGTGCCATAGATATCTTTTCTGTTCGGATCCGTGAGCACTTCAACGGTAGTGAAAGGACGAATGAAAACTCGCCCCATGACAAGGGAATATCGGTAGATCTGCTCTCTGATATGGTGAGGAAGATTAAAGAATGGCATGTCATCGGCCGGCTTGAGGACAGTGAGAAAGGTCTTCAGGAGGCAAAGTTGAGAGTCCGGAGTAGTTCATCACAGCTGAATCTCGCATTCATATGTTCAGTCTGGTGACTACAGAAAGAGATTGAGTCAAAATCCCGGGGTAGGTATCGCACTAAGGGGGTCAGCCAACAGTGAATGTATCATTCATTGGCCTAGGTCGGACCGAACATCATGGAACTAGGCAGACTAACACAAAGATTTGCTTGTTAATTATGTATATGGCCACCTAATGCCTGGCATTCAGTCATGTCAGTTTGATGCTGTGCTTTAGTGGAAGTGTCAGGTTATAAACTGCAGGAATAGTGTGCAATTGCAGTCCATGAAAAAGTAATTGGAATAGATTTTGCTCATGAGTCTTAGCTTAAGCCTTTTCTCGTTCTCGAAACACATCTTAATGTCCCATCTTTGTGGAGAAATGGCCACAAGCCACGGAAAAAGGAGGCGTTCTGCATTTTGGTACAAGTAGTCAATAGGGCGTTCTTTCAATCCAGTAAAACGGAACCCCGTTATTGCCTATCATATCTCTTTCAATAAACAGTCGTTGAAATTTCACAATGCTGCAGCTAGAGCGGCTGCCTCCAATGTTCCCTCGCGTTCGTCCCGTCTCCGGCGCTTCTCCAGAATCGCTTCCCGTCGTTGAGCGAGAATCCTGAGCTGTCTGTCCTCAACACCCTGTAGCCAATAACCGAAGCTTCCACCGACGCCAGCGAACAGAGGGTACACCCAGAGAGATTCCTTGGCGAGAATAGGGCGCATCTCGATGCCGAGTTGCCAAAGTCGGACGGCAATGCCTAACGGAGAGAGATGTTAGAAGATGGTCTTCGCCGATTTGACGAATGCCAACAGATATCGGAGGGTCCAATTGCCAGTTTCCTGGTATTGAAGGAGGTATCATTCCCGGCTGGGCACATACCGAAGCCGCCCCAGAAGAGGACTTTGTGAACCATTGTGTTATGTAGTAGATGCGGACTGCGCGGATTGGGATAGGGAGGGGTCGTTAAAGCAAGGTTGACCCGAAGAAGCCGTCGTGGTTGACTGAAGACAATTGCTTCTAGGTTAGGGCCTGGACAGAGACGCAATGGGTCACGTTCAGCGGACAATCGTTTCAAGATGAGGTTGCTTTCATCCTCTCTCTTACCCAGGCCCGCCGAATCACCGAGCCGCAGTTCGCAATCTGCCGCGGATCATCGTTCCTCCGAGCTCGGCGCCAACTTTCACTGAATCAGGAAATAGTTTAGAATCGCTGTAACAGGAGGTATACCACAATTAATTTGCGACGCGCTTCACTTCGTCCAACCAGTTTCGTATGCCGCTCGGCGGCGCCTGGTTACGTGCTTCCCGAATTATTGATTTGATTGTCTCATGATGGCTGGTCCAGATGAGATGTCAGATGTCCAACCCACTGGTGTCAAACGGCCCTTGCTCGATGTTGAAAGTCTACAGCGGAAGAAGTTCAAGACGGAAGAGCTGCCATTGACCGCGGCGCAACACACTGCGATTGAGGACCTACTGCATGCTTTTAAGAAGAAAGGAGGTTTTGATAACGTGCGCAAGAAAATCTGGGCTGAATTTCATGACGGAGTATGTTTCAGATTGACCTGGGAATTATCGACACACTCTCTAACTGCCGAATCTATCATGTAGGAAGCAAGAGCCGAGTTTACGAAGCTATTGATTGAATTAGCAGAATCGGAAATAGAACGCGAACCGGAGCTACTATCCCGTGAACGAGGAAAAGCCGCGACCCTGATAGAGGGTGCAGTCGATCGGAGCGACGTCTACAAGAAAGCCGAAAAGCTTATTGATGCGCTGGCCTCAAATCACCTGGAGTTCATCTTAAATTCTGTCAGGGACATTCGCCGTCAGCAAGTCGGAGACGAGCTCGCTGCGAAAGAGGAGCAAGCCGGCAATAAAACAGATGAGGATTTCGCTGCGGAGATAAGAGCTAAACGTGAGATACGCGAACGAGAATGGCAGGAGACGGTGCGCAAACAGAGAGAACTTGAAGAGCAAGAAGCTCGTCGAAAGGCCGAAGAGGAACGCAAGAAGCGCGAGGTCGAACGCCAAAAGGAGGAGGAAGAAAGGGCAAGACGGAAAGAGCGCGAGGAGCAGCGACGTGCAGAGCGTGAGCGTCAGCGGGACGAGGAACGGCGACTTGAAGAGCAACGAGAAAAGGAACGTCAGGAAAGATATGAGCGCCGGAGACGGGAAGAGCGCGAAAGATACCGTGACTGGGATCGATCTAGGGACCGTGATCGCAGTCGAACCAGGGACAAAGATAGGGACAGAGACAGGGATCGAGAGCGCGACCGTGACCGCGCTCGCTCAATAGGCTACCGATCACCGCGATATCGCGATTCGAGGAGAGAAAAGTCCGCTACTCCGAAGGAGCCAACGCAGGCGCCTCCGCCGCCTCCACCGCCTCCTGTTGCCGTGGATGATAAGTCGCTGGAAGAGGCCGCTCTCCAACTGCTGCTTAAAGAAGGCGAGGAACTTGCCGCTAAGGCGCGCCAGAAACCGGAATTTGATTTTGAAGAAGCTGAGGCTATCGAGAACGGCCTCAAGCCCCCGCCGACTAAACCAAAAGGCGCAACAGAATCGAGGTATTCCATTACTCCATTGAAGTCCGCAAGTCCGTCTGTCGATGTGGACCAACGCCGAAGGCGAGACTCGACTGTTGATGACCGTCATCGCGCGCATAGACGTGACGGCAGCCGGGAGCGCAGCCGCTCACGGAGAAGATACACGCCTCGCTTTGATGATGATCGTCGACGGGAACGATCCCGTGATGCTTCTAGTCGCCCGCGTGATCGTAACCCTGATGATAGAGTTGCCATACGGGATTTCAGAGCTAACCGATATGGCGACCGTAGCTACCGCCCTAACCGCAGAAGTAGGAGCAGGTCAACTGGTCGTGGTTATGACCGGGACAGGGACCGCAGCAGGGGTCGAGATCGCAGTGCTGAACGCGAGAAAGATCGAGCTCGAGATCGCTCGCGCCCAACGGATGAACGGGAACGAGATCGTGATCTTCGCACTCGTGATCGCAGCAGAGATCGAGATCGGGAGAGAGACAGGGATAGAGAGCGTGACAGGGACAGGGACCGGGACCGGGACCGGGACCGAGATCGGGATCATCGACGTCGCAGTTACTATTCTCGGTCTCGTTCACGACCTCGACGCGGACGATCGCGCTCTGCCTCCCGCGCTAGAGATCGAAACCAAGATCGGACTCGAGACCGAGATAGAGAGCGAAATCGTGATCAAGAACAGCAACGAGATGGAGACAAAGAACAAGACCGAGGCCAGGTCCGAGAAGGAGACCGTAACGGTGACCGGGGAAGATCCAAGTCCCGCGTTCCGAATCCCTCTCGAAAGCCATCTCGCTCACGACGGCGTTCCCCCAGCACTCTTGACATCGACCGCTATGTGCCCCCAACGAGCCATCGGAGCAGATCCCCTCGAAGGCGGGTCCGATCTCCAGATCGCCCAGAGCGAGATGATCGTCGAGGGTTCGTGGAGATTGATCGGTACATACCCGGCAGCGAGCGAGAACGTGAAAAGGCTCGAGACGGAGAGAAAGACAAAGATAAATCTAAAGAAAAGGAAAATGAAGAAAGGAAAGATAAAGGCGCGGAGCTTCCTGATCGCGGAGCGGATGACCGCGGGGTACGGAAACTTAGCACCGTTCAAAGGAGAAGCAGGAGTCGTTAGATACTCATCCCTTTCCGTCCAGCGTGATGATCTATCGAGAGCATCTCCTCTGTATTTCATCCTATATCATGTATACTACGCTACCTTCTGGTCCTCTATTGATTAAAAGCCTAATGGTAATAACGATCAACAGCAATGAAAGACTGGCAATACTGCCGTCCCGTGAAAGACGTTTGAGGAGCATCAAATGGCTGTCGACCGAAGGCACTCTCAGTATCACGTTGAAATGAAGAGAATAAAGAGTATACATAGCGCTGCATGAAAGCAGTGGGAGGTCAGATCGGGATCTGTGGGACGTAGCCGATCAATGAGAACTCCCTGCAATAGCTTCCCGGTATCCATCATTCTCATCATGTTGTTTATAAAAATACGAGTTGCTACCGGAACTGGTAGGCCGCAGCTCAGGCGATAGACGGTCGATAATGGTTTGCTCGAGGATCTTGATAGAGCGTTCGTTCGTGCCCATCTTGTTCCATACGGAGATCATATGAGAGTTAAAACGGACAGAGGTGGAAACACCAAGGACATGGTCATGTTCTAGGGAAAGCAGTCAGCTCAAAATCTCGGGTGCTCGCGAACCCGATGAGCGGATTACGCACCTTTCTCCAAAGCAGCTTGGAATTCGTTGGCCATACAGAGAATGGCAATCTCGTGGAAGAACTCCTGAGCCTTACTCTTGGGGACTCGGAATTTCCAGCAACCACCCTTGAGGTTTTCTGGGTCCTCCCATACCGGACGGACGCCCTTGCGGAAGATATGGACTGAGTCTCGTAGGCGAATTTTATCCCAGGGATAGTTGTTGTAGACGCGATAGAAAGTGGCAATGTCGGCTACATCCTCATGCAAGACATACAGTCGGTTGTCATAGTCGGTAGATTCTGAGTGTCTGTCATACCATACTGTCCAGTGGTATTGGAGTGGCAATGGGCGTAGTTTTCCGAGGATGTTCTGATGCAGCGACTTTCTCGTAGAAGAGGATGGGCACTCCGTTGTTTTTTGTGTTGGGGAGCTCTCGTCTCTTATAGGGCTTTGGTCGTTGACGTGTAGTTTGGGCGTGCTCATCTTGTGGTGCTGGGAGTTTCGGATGAGATGCAACGGGCTGATTGAGCGGGGCTGTTATCCAAGAAGCGTATTTGTGCCCTTTGGTAGAGACTTTAACTCTTTGGCCTCAGGAGAGACTGGAACGACCGAGAATGGTTCTTCATAGAAGAGCCCCGTCACCCAGACTAGCTGAGGCAGATATAGTGTAGTACGTTTGAATATCGAATCCGCTGTATCTTGAAGTCAGCATGACATTGAAGAGAGTAGTTCATTGTAAAGACATGCAAGATCAAAATCGCCCAAGGAACCTAAGTCTGAAGGTATCTGAAACACCCAACTATATAAAGGACTGGGCAGTGTGGGGGGATGGTTAAGGGTAGTTGGGGTAAAGTGAGCACCAGATTAAAGGACATGCGATACAATGGAAGTGAAAGAACGTACCTGATACAATGACTACGAAAATATATTCAACTCACCTCGAGAAATGTGAATTGGATATCTTCAAGGGAAACAGGGAATACTGAAACAAGCAACGAGAGCACAGAGACCTTGGACAAAGAGCCAAGTCTCCTTGAAGAAACATTAAGTAGAGCTGATTCTGCAGGGGAAAGCGGGGTTGGTAAACGGTCAATTAAAGGCAATACTTATCAACCAGCTGCTGAGGCTACTGTTAGATTATAATCTGACTTAATATCATTAGCAGTCACCATCCTGAAGAACTAGGGCCTAGTTTCATATTCATTCGTGCTCTGCCCACTTTTGATGGCTGCAGGAGTCGCAGCTCCAACCAGGTCATGAAGATGCCACCATGTTCCTTTCTTTAGGGGCCTGAACGATCTTCACTCTTTCTCCTCGATGACCCATCTGCCACATGGTGCCTGCAATGCTGCACGAGATCGAATTTTATCACATCGTCTGATTCCTGGACGTTGGCGCTGATTCGATCTCCACCGCCTGGCGCGAAACGCCCTCTAGGTGTTTAAGCGGGTAAGAATTTGGGGAAGAATTCAGCAGAACCAACCAACCGACGAACGAACGACACAGAATGGAGGACGGTGTCAGGAAGCGCCTACGAGCTGACGAACCCCAATCCCTTTCATCCTTCGACGAAACATCGCCCTCTAAACGAACCAGAGCCAGAATTGTTCCCACTTATCGCAATGACGATAAGGGCCTGCCGACGAATTCATCCGCTGCAGACCATGACGGCGCAAAGAAGCCGGAGAAACCCCGCAAGAGAGCCCCCACATCTAGCGAAAGTGAGGACGAGGATGATGATGATGATTACACTTCCTCGTCTGGCTCCGACGACGACAGCGACAGCGATAGCGGCAGCGATGGAGACGGGGAAGATGAGGATCAAGAAGCCGATTATAGTTCCGACCAGGCATCCCGCGCAGGTTCTTCCCTACCGCGCATCTCGGCGCAACAGAAACCTCGGATACACCGCATGACAAAGGAACCGGATCTGCTCTCCCGACTTTCTGCATTTCTACCGAAGCTGAAGAGTGCCAATGAGGATCTACAACGAGAGATAGCCGCGGGGAGAGGCAAAGATCTACAACTGGACGAAGCGGAGAATCAGGAGGAGGGCCAGTACATTGAAATGGTGGGCTGAATCGATTCTTTCTAATTCTGGTTGAGAACATGAATACTAATATTGCCGTCTCAAGAACCTCGGACTAGGCGTTTTGGAAGAGAAACGTGCTGATGGCAGTAGCTCTACTGATGAAGAGCTTGGCGACGGTCCAGAATTTGCGAACGATGAAGATGCCGCAGAATCGGATACTAAATTGCAGAAAGACTCTGATATTTTGGATAAACTGATGGGCAAGAAGAAATCTTCGGATCAAAAGCCGACGATTCAAGAATTGACTGAGCCACGATCTTAGAAAATTGCATAGGCCTGGCGTTGACGGATATTTCAGTTTTGCTATTACCAAATTCAGTTGGCTCCGTGTTCTTGGACAAAAACCATTTTTTTTGCTCATTCGTTTGATGTAGAAGTCAATTCTATTCTTCTGAATGTATCTAACAATCAGTGTGTGATTTATGCACATTCACAAGTATAATATTCGCAAGTTTCTGTGAACCGGAGAGCAGTCGGCCGCAAAGAACAACAAATCAGTAGTCTAGTGCATCAAGATCAGGTGATAATTGACAGTCAATGGTCTAATGTATTTGCACGAAGGAAGAAGCAGAAATACAGCCAATGAATCCATGGCAATTAAGTAATTAAAGCATGACATAGCAGCATCATCCATTATGAGATTTCCTTGATACGGCAAGTCCAGCCAGATTCTTGGCTCAAAAGAGGCAGACTGAAGGAAGAGACGTTAGCATATACTGTAAACATTTTCGTTCGATCCTTATCTTACCTTGCACCGAGACACCATCCAAGTTCTCTGTTCTTGATCTTCTTGGCAATCTTCACCTCGCGAGTGAGAGGCATTTCATAGCCAGTGTGCAGCAGACTCATCATGAAGTTCAAATCCAAGCACCACTCGGGCCGATCACGAAGCTCTTTAAGGGCACCTTCGATGCCTGCAAAGATGCCCCAGCTATCTTCGCCACCACAAACGGTCGACGTAAGCTGATGCATTTCATCCAAAGTGAACGAGTCAGGCATGCCCAGAGGCTTGGTACGGTCGTAGAAGTATGAGAAGATATATACGTCTTCCCTGGCAAATGTCTTCTCAAGCGAAGGCTGGTGGACGCCGTTGAAGGAGCAAGGAGCAAGGGTGCATGCAGCCTCCTTGTTCAGAGTCTTCTCTGCAAGACCACGACATTGAGCGGCGGTAGATCCCACCTTAGGGCCAGCCATTGTAACCTGCACTTCTGGGGCGAGCTTGTGTCCTTCCGGAAATTCCAAAGTGACATTCTTCTCCATCCCGGGCCCGATACAAGGGTTAGGGATTGGCTGCTTAAGCCAGGACAAGTCTTTGGGACTCGACGCGAGCATATTCTCAACGATGGATGTGTGAACGGCTTTGCGCGCAGCCATGAGACCGTAGCCAAGGTGAGAATGCTGATACAGCTCGAAATGGCGGCCACCGAACTGGAGATCGTACTTGTGGTCACCTTCGGCCAAGCGCTCCGGCATGCCGCCTGACTTGCTCTTCGGAAATGTGGGCTGGAAAACGATCTGGGTAGAACCTCCACCAAGGTCAAAGACTGCGGCAGTAGGTGTTTCGTCGGGACCGCCAATCTTTCCGAGAAGGTAGTTCGTTGTGATCCAGGCATAGACACCCTCGTCAGAGCCATCCATGATTTCCACTCCTCTCTTCTCTTTGGAAACCACAGGGAACGGGTAAACAGTCTCGAGGCGAGTCCGTACCGCGTCCAAGATCTTCTGACTCATTTCCGGGCCAAGCATGCGCAATCCGGCTGTGGCCTTTACAGCAATTGGCGAGCAAGACTTGTACTCATCAGGAACATTCTTCATTGCAACCTCCATGAGAGGATCAAGGCTTTTGGCTGCTCCTTCAGCATCCTCTTTGTAAGAACTCAGCCCAGAGCCGCCCTTCTTCGGCTCAGTCTGGAAAAACACTTCGTCTTCAAGTTCTGGGGAGGGGCCGCAGTTGTTAAATCGATAGACGTGAATTCGAGACCCTTGGCTTCCGGCATCAATCATAAGAGCATACTGAATTAATGGCTTCTTGGGATCATGGGGTTTTGAACACTTTTCTTTGGCGGGAGCACTGGTGCTTGGTCGTCCTGAGTACATAATAAGTTATCCCGATCAGCAAGTTGTAAAGGGTCAATTGAACTGACCTTGAGGAAAGCTCTGACGCATAGGTCTTGACGGAGAAATCCAGAGCAACATCAGCAACAGCGCTGCCACAATGGCGCCCGTCTTTAGATAACGGGATCTCTGAGTCTGTGCCATATTCGCTAGCACTGAAAAGCGTCGCTGCTTCGATGGTTTTTGCGGACTTTCCACAGGTTCCGCAGCTCGAGGAGCCTGCGAGTTGGATCGTCGATAGGGACTCGCTTCTGAGTGTATATAGGATACTGTAGTTTGCAGATGTCGACTGTCAACTCCAGTCGACATGCGAGCAAGGC